TCCCCATGGCCTTCATGACTGAATTCATGTTTTAGCATCCAATCGAACGCCAGTTTTGCAAGACATTGCTCTTTCAACATTATGCTGAAAGGGCCCTTCTGTATCAACTTTTGAGGGGAATCACTTCATAGCGACATATGCCCAAGGTGTCTTTTCAAATATTTCTTTTATTGCAGAAAGCCTTGTCCACATAGTGAGACGCCTGTCCGTTTCGTACGTTTTCGTAGTTGAAGGTGGAAAACACAAATACGTGAGATGATAAACCATTCCAATGAATGACACTGTCAATTTCTTGAAGTCCTTGAAGCTCGTCTAGGATTCGTCTAGGATTTACTCGGGAAAACAAATCCAAAAACATGAAACACAACGGCAGATACGGTTACCATCAATATTGCTGCTGTTACAGTTACTGCTACTGCAAGGGTTATTCTTGCAATTTACAAATACCAGTACTGGTAGCCTCAACTCCAATGCCAAGCTTTCAAGATCGGACTGCCTTGCTGATTATCTTTCAGAATGGATGCATTCCAGCATGGACATCATTCTGATTCGGGCATAGTTGCTTTTCGGATCAGGTATACACCAATTGCGGCTCTTTTTTTGTTATGGCTTAGAGTCTCCGAGACCGAACATTTTTCAACACGGGTGATACGGTATTATAATTGGACATGGATGCTATGGGATTATCTGTACTCCAATGCAGTTGTCATTCCTGTTTGGCGATGGATGCGCTGGGGACCCGATGCACTCCGGGATGGGCGTTATGGTGGCTTGGGCGTAGTGGTTGGATATCATCCAATGCAGATGTTACTTTGGAATGCGCTTCGGGGGGGGACCGGACAAATACAGAGATGTGCGTTGTTTTAGTTCGGGGTGCTTTGGCTGGGGTTCGGATAAATATTAATGTGGTTGTTATCATGATTTGGGGATGGAATGGGTTTTCGATTTGGAACATGAACCTGGGCCTGAAAATCGCATTGGCACAAACAAAACGCATACGGCATTGCCCGAAACACATGTTCACGAAAAACCAGAAACAACTCGCCAACCCTCTTCATGGCCTGAAATGCCACGCCTCTGTCGAAAAGTAGTAGTAGTAGTAGTAGTAGTAGTAGCAGTAGTAGTACTATTTCTTCTTCTACTACTACACCTACGTATGCCTCCCCTTCATATGCTTAGCAGGCTTTATCAATAGGACCCGATCAGCCCTGAACTAGGCCTTGGTGGAGAAGATTTGGCAACTTGTGCAAGACTCAAAGCCGGCCCTGAAGCAGAATGTTGAGGGCATCCAGGCCTTTGTTAACGGTCAAGGTCCTAATGGGTGAACCTATCCGGATTCTACGAAATCATCTGAAGTAATGCTTGGGGTCATTGCGGCCCCAAGCAGCAAGTAGGGCAGTAAGGGTCCTCACACCTCTCGTGGTGTGTTAAGACGTGGGGATATGGGCTGCACAACGGTTCCCGTTTGCAGAAGCCAAAGAGGGTTTGTGATCATAACGGTTTCTCATGTAAGCCAGCACTTGGGGTACACATAGTTTTGAGGGTCCTGGACTTCGGAAGCTACAACACAACACGCAGCTTTGTACATGTTAGGTTTTTGTGGGCAGTGCCCTAGAATAGATCATTTCAGTCTGGGTGCAGGCCCTCTGGCTTCGACATAATTGGTCAGCATTTGAGTTTGGAACGTAAGCCCCAGAGCCACAATCCATCATTACATTCGGTAAAAGACCGATTTTACAATCATCAAGTAATCCCTTTCCATACCAGAAGACCAATTTCTGGAGCGCCAAATAGCAATTTACTTCAAGTAGCTAGTGCCATTGTGAGTATAGCCACTGTGGTTCTATTCTTGTAACCAGCACGACAATGTCGTTGCAATCAATTTTTCCGCAATGATCTGTTGTCACAATGAGCGCTGTTTTCACTTCTGCTATTCAGGACTCATACTCCAACCAACAGTACAAAGCTTCAAGTTGCAGGTCATTTTTTGGCAGCGAACATGTCAGTGTCCACACTTGCCCGCAAATTTACGGGCATCCTTCACTCATTCATAAGTTTGGTGCGCAACGACTCGTGGCCAACAAAATTAGCACAATCTAAAAATCACCTTGTCTTTATGCCCTGCAGGCCACGCTGACCACAGAGGGCAAAGGCATGTCGAATTGCGGTGGAGATGCGCTGCAGAAGTGCCTGGCTGAGTCAGGGTTGCGGCTTGTGACGGTTGTGTTTTTCAGGGGAGGAAAAAGTATCCTATGATGTTTTGGATGAAACATGCGATAGGGATTATTGAAGACAAATCCCACGCAAGAAACTGCGCCATGCCATTCGAGCTCATGTTCTTGTGTTTGCGCTCCTTGCAGAACACCTGCCCTTAGCACGTCCCATAAAACAAGGAGCGCTTCGACGTTCAAAACGGATTTTACTGCCAAGAGCGATGCACACAAAACATGCCGGCAGACGGAGAAGTTGAAGCCAGGACTTGTTTGTCTTAACTTTTTTTGTGCAGCTTGGAATACATTCTATGAAGAGAAGTGGAAGCCAGTAAGCATTCCAGACCGCTCAGGAATTTCAACGAACACAAGACATGCGACAAAGACCATGAGACGGCCAAAGCCACCCAGACGACAAGCTGCGATGCCGTTCCCAGATGAAAATATTTAATCGTTTTGTGTTTTTATTGTGGGGCAGAGAAGGGCTTACCGGCTTACCAGGTGGCTGCCATGGAGAAGACCATGTATGAGTACAAGTCCACTTGCGAAGTGCAAGCAGGCGAGACTTTTGAGGCTTTCCACACCCGGATTATCGAGGCATCACAGAAACATCTAGCCGATTACAAGACGGCGAAGTCAGCCTGCGAGGATGCCAAGAAGGCGGTGGAAGAAAAAGAGACAGAATGCACCACTGCGCTGAAGACCTACGAGTCCCAGAAGACGAATTGTGACAGTGTGCAAGATGCGATGGACAGCTATTCATGCTCCTACACCGAAAAGGCCACCACCGAATGCGAGG